GTCTAACACGACTTTCATCCGTGATATCTTGTTTTGAGGCTCACCTTGCTTATTTCTCTTGGACTGTACACTAAAGTTCACGTAATGTTTCACTTTGACACTAGAAACTGCAGCACATCTGACAGCTCTTATATATAGATTCTCTTCTAGCCATCATCTCGTACATGAATTATCATGCTCCATATGACATTGAGGCATGCATGAAATAAAGGTTCTAAGAGCTATTCACTGGTCTGTGACGTAACTTAAACATGTTTGAGTTCAAATAACCAGAATAAAGGACTGATTGTAAAATATGCTGATGACCTACTTTGTAAAGATTATAAGAACAGCTGCTGAGCAGGGCATCAAAGAAATTTAAATACAAATGATCTGAGCTAATTGCTTTTCTAGGGTATCAAATGTATTTAATTCTACTCTCATTGGTTTTGTAATTTCATGTCTGCGCTGAAAATTGATCGCATTATAAATCAAGCAATTATAAAAAACAATTCTATTAAGGACATTTATACCAATATTATGCCTAATTGGCCTATTAATTTATTAATAAACAAAATATTTTTAGAAATCTTCCTAACATCTTTGTTTATTTTTGAGGTCCTAAGAGAAATCATTTTGATTCAAACAGTTCAAAAACTTGAAGGGAGACCCTTGATATAAAAAGGACAATATTAAAATGAATCCTAAAGAAATAGGATGTGAGGATATGGAGTGAATTCAAGTAGCTCAGGAAAGGTCCAGTGGTTGTCTCTTGTGAATCTATTCATGACACAGCTGATCTTATGTTATCTATCTGTTGTATTTTGTAAAATATTTAATACTTGAGGCACCAGGAAATCTTTGGGAAGCTGTTTTTCTTATTTCAAAATTAAACAGAAATGATAAGTTGTTCTTTTTGGAAATCTTTGGGAAGCTGTTTTTCTTACTTAAAAATTAAACAGAAATGTTAAGTTGTTTTTTCCATTACTCTTTGTTGCACTTTCGTGGCAGCAGGCTAAAAAAATGGCTCCAATCTTCAGTGTGTTACATATTTATAATTCAGATGACATTACACTATTGTTATTGATGGCCAATATTATCATAATCAAAGACATAAATACACATTCATACACTTTTATTCCTTCATTACATAAATAAATCTTGTTGTGTTTGTGAAGCAGCATAAGCAGATAATATTTACATTACATTTGTGAATAGAACTGTATATATAAATCATATAAATATCAGTTCACTGTCTGAGCTTGTAGAACATATTTCATTAACAGCAAGCATTGATAATTCATTTTAGAGTCTTTTACAAATATCATAAAAATTTACAAACAATGATTTTAATCACATGATGTGAAATTAGTTTGGAATAATGTACATAAAATTATTACTATCCAGTACTAAACTGAACATAGCAAACGCATCAGAGAATGTTGATGCAGGTCTCTGCCATCTCAAAGAAACAGCTGTATTTGCCGCAGCGTCGTGCCAGGTCAGCGGCACTTTCACCAGCCCTATTCTTCAAGTCTGTTTGAATATCGGGGTGAAGCAACAGTACTTGTAGAGTGTCTTTGGCGCAGCTGTTTGAAGCTGCTAGGTGCAAGGGCGTCTGTCCTAACAATTAGTGTAAACAAAATATTTACTTGGAAAACCTTATAATCTTAATTCAGGAACTTTATTTATTGAAGGAGATAACTATAGAAATTATAACCATTTTACAAGGTAAGGCACTTTCTCAATATGAGGTTTATGATTCGAATCTGAGCTGAATTATTGCGTCCTGAGGGTTTTCATAATTTTCCTCAGTCTGTCAACGGAATGCAATATGTCACAGTTGCTTCCTTACAAACTCTTAACCTGTTCACCTCTCATGGTTATTTTATTATCTAATTTGGTTCTATATAAACACAAGTTAAAACAATATTTAAATAATGTAAGAGCCAAATGTTTTTTGACTGCCAACCAGTTTTAGGCAATTCCGATCTGGATCAAGTCACTAATATTGCTTTGCCTTTCATGATGCAACATGAAAAAGTATAAACTGAGATGTATGGACATATTTCATGATACACAAGTAAAGTCACCACCTAAATGTAGCTTCAAATTCTTCAAAACATTAATTACTTGCCTCCGTTACTTGCGGCATTGGGATCCGCTCCGTGTTCCAGAAGCTTTGCGACACATCCAGCATTGTTCCACTTACAGGCTGAGTGCAGGGGCTGCCACCCATCCACTGTCTCCGCAGATATATTTGCTCCATGGCTTAGTAACAACTACAACACACATGGGTCTCCTCACAACTCTGTATTTCTTTCTGTAACCTCAGCATAATTTCATGCTTAGCATTCAGTGTTGTTTTATGGCAACATAAGCTGTGATAAATTGGAAATAAAAAATTAACCTTTTCAGTGGGATGCAATTGCATATTTAATATTTTTATAATATAATCTATATTTCAAACCAATTCCACATGTGCAGCTTAACTGTTGCTCTGATGATGAGACAGCAAAGACTTCTAAACATTGGTGCATTTCTACCAGACTATAGGGCATTACAACCCAGAAGACAGCCATCTTTATATCTCCAGTTCTTTCAATAGTAAGTTTCATTACAAACTGTTATTACTGTTAACAGTCTGGTAATGACAAAGAGAATGTGAAGGTTCAACAGTTCAACACACCTGATATCAAAGCCTGTAACTAATGTCACATCTTATAACCAATTGGTACCAGGGCCCTTTCCCGGGGGTAAAGAGCAGCCAGGGTTATGACAAACCACTCGCCCATCTAGTGCCCAAGGTTAAGAATAAGTAGGAGCTACACCTCCTCTCCCCCCTAGCATCTACATGGCATATAGTGGGACAGATTTACTTTTTCACTATATTATACCCCTTTGTATACTATGTTTCCAAAACCAATGAGATGATATCTGAAAGCTTAAAAGAAATTAGAAATGAAGACACAAGCTGGAAAACCACCACCTACAAAGCACTTACTTACATCCACGACATGTTCATGGCCATTGTAACAAGCCCTGTGAAGAGGTGTGTAACCATCCTTATCCTTCACATGAATTAACATTGGATCAATAAGTATCAGTCTTTCTACTGCAGACAATTTTCCATTCTCTGATGCCCACAAAATTTCTTTGTCAGGAGACTCTGTAAACAAAGAAGAAAACTGGGTACTGTGAGTCCATGCTGTATGAATTTGGCTTCAGACTGTAATAAAACAAAGGTGGTTTTCAACATACGAAAGGAAAAGCAAAACTTGTCTGAATATTTGGTAAATATGTAAAGTTATTTCTGGTGTTTATTAAGTACCACAGCTTTGACAGTTGAACAAAAATGTGTATTAGTGAATGTGCATTTGATAAATTTCCTTTGTAGGTAGGTTAGGTAACTGCAACATTTAGAACCAAGGAAATCGATGCAGTTCATAATACAAGACACTTGCCAAAAGGATTAACTTCTTCCTCTAACCCTTCAGCGTCATCATCCCAACCACTGACTTGGCCAATATGAAAACTCTTCATAGCCACCTGCACTCTTTCTAGTTCTTGTCCAAACTTATCATATTCTTCATCCTCCTCTTCCATTGAATGGCTGTTTGTAGCTGACTCAAAAACTTCACACCTGTGATTAAGACACTGTTTATGATGAAATGTACTTCCTTAGCACCGTTCAATGGATTGTAATCAAGATGTATAAACCGTAACCATTTGTATTTCCTTCGCACTCTCAACGATAACATGTAACATGGCAAAGGTAATCAATATGACACACGGCATAAGCTTCTGAGCATAACCTAAACCTTGCCTTGTTGATGAAGGCAGCAAGTACCACTGAAACGTTGGTAAACGTCTACCAGGCTGCAGCAACTAAGAATGCAGTTAAAATGCAAGGATTCAATTTTATCCGTCTTTTTTTTCCAGAAATAATAAATGCCAAACATTCTGTTCTGGATACAGTTTTGTCAAATATGATAGGTTTAAAAAAAATGCCGGATACAAAATACAAGGATGCAGCGTTTTCCGTTGTAATATAAGCGTAATGGAGTAGACTAAATTATATTATGTACAGAATAAGGTGGGTGAAATTAATGTAAAATTGGTGTAGATACAATTGCTGTAGGCCAAACGGTTCACAGGTGGAATGGATATAGGTATCTCGACACTGTATAAATCAAGGGTTATCTCCCACACGCAACATACCTCTTAATGAAGAATCTATGATTAGACTGCGAAACATAGATGATGCCCAACATGAGCAAGGAGCAAACCTGCAAAGGAAGATATCTTTGACCGTATATGTAGAGGAGAAGTAACTTTTTTGTAAGGGCATATTTACACCCATATTGCAGTGCATGGTTTTCACCATAAAATCTTCATTTTTCATAATCCTATATGTATGCAATGTAACAATTTGCATAAGATACCTCGTATCAGACAAAGGACAGTTAAATTTTTATACAGCAAAGCACATAGTGCACGGGTGATATGTGATCACAGTTGACTTTTCTGTGAGAATCTGAGGTTGTGTTCCGATTTTGAATTTGGACTACGCATGAAGCTATGCACAGAAGTACTTCATTTTTAAATAATGGAACTTAAGGGCGATATAATGTATGTATTATGGGCATTAATCACTTGGTGTTTGCTAGAGATACCAAAGTACCAGTTTAAATAAATTAAATATATTTGTATGCATGTAAAATAGGTCTGTGAATTGAGGTTATAAATAATAATTTATATTTAAACATATTTTGAGTCTTCATAAAATAACATGGGTTATTGTGAAAAGCTAAAACAAATTGGAAAATTATTTTTTTAGTGTCCGTTACATTATAGTTGTGTTGTACATGTGTATTGTTTGATGTTTCAGGATTCATATAATCTATTTGTTATGCTGACTTTTTTGATGTTCTTATAATGGCTGTTAGTGACAGCAGTCAGAACCTAGAAACCTGTGAATATGAAGCATATGTTCTAACCACTAGACCATATTGAATCAGCCTTGTTACGTGCATATAAAGAAACATTTTATTTTGTTAAATTTTACTTGTTAATTGATATGGATGTATATCTGCAGCAGACTTGGCTTATAAAAGGATGAAGTAATGTTTGAAGATGTCTATCTCTTGGGTTATTGTGCCATGTAGTCTGCCTCAAGCAGCAAGGATCTCTGAAACTATAGCAAACCTCTACCAGACTACATAGCGCAACAGCCCAGAAGACAGCCATATTCAGACTCACCACCATGAAAACTTCAAATTCTACAAAGTAATGTGTCCTTAAATTAGGGATGAGAGTGAAATACACATTATTTTTTTATGTTAGAGGTGGATGCATTCCATAAATCATTGTGAGTTGGATGTGGAACATGCGATTATTATATTAATGTCATCCACAAAAAGAATAGGTGTAGAAGCTGCAATAATATATTTTGCCTTTCCTTTTATTTCAGCTATAGTAAAGCATTGTGGGTAATAATATCTGGAACAAACACAAATGCATCAGAAGATGTTGTTTCTCACGAGTTGAAGCGAGCTCATGATCAACTCCAGAATGGTCTGAATCATTTTAAGGATCCTAATAAAGAATGTGAAGCAAAATTCAAAACCCAGGTGTCTGATTCAGTTTTCAAATTTACTGTCAGACTCAAGAGATTCTTGGTAAGTTATATGGCATAATTTGAGTAAGACTTACATTACTGAAAGCACATTTGCTGTTAGGGTATCATCCACACTGCCAAGTTCAAATCTTTTCTGACAGTACACAAAGCAACAACACAGAAGACAGGCACCATCAAACAAAAATATGGTATTTACAGAGTATTCAAATTAATTGCTTTAAGAGCGTCTGAAAATAATGAATAGCATGACATGGTTAAGGTTATCAGGTGAACATAATTATGTTATTTGTTATCATGCATTGTCAAATAAAACAGAAACCACTACAGCTCAGCCTTTTCCCCATATTTTCTAGGGACTTGATATAAATCAGGCATGGGACTTCATGTGTAACTATCTTCTGTATGAGTTCCGTGGCGCAGAAGAAGGACTACAAGAATTTATTGGAAGTGAAACAAGAACAACAGTATTGTTGTCAGATATATGGCTTTTCTACCGGAGTGAACGCCTGTTTCTCCTCAAGTGTATAAATGTTCTCTTAACATTCCACAATGACAAGGGACATCCTTATCAGGTAGGTTTTAATTGTTAGTTTCACCACATATTGTTGATACTACCATTTTTAACGGTGTGAAAGTTAGTTTTGTTTTGCTGTGTGAGGGAAGAACATAGATTTATGGTGTCTGAGAACAGGGTGGTGTTTCTTTGTATAGTTGGAAAGCTGAGTCCGAAAGAGTAACAATATATATATTAGTAAATCAGTCTCTCTTTCTGAACATAACTAAGGTTATATTTTAGTTAATTTCCATCTGCACAAATTGATATTCCAAATTTGCATATTACAAAGTTACTGTGCAATTCGAGTCTCTATATTAGAATTTGTTTTACTATCCAGTCTCACAGGATAGAACCTTATAATAGGCACTACAGTATCCTTCCTGTTCCTTACGTAATCACTGCACGCTCTATATCAGGGGTGGCCAACCCAAATGATCTTTCGGGCCCCTTTGGAAATGCATCATAACTCCGCGGGCCACATATAAAATTATATATCCCCATATTAGATTTAGATACACTATAGACATTTTTTTGGAGTGAAAAATTGAAACATAATGAGTTATTATTATTGTGTTTACTATTATTCTTACATGTAAACATAGATAATATAATAATAATGATACTAATGAATAAAACAGGCAATATCTGTCATATATTCGCAAGAATATTATTTTAAAATCAAAGTTAATTTTTTCTCATAATTTCGACAGATAATTTTTGAATATATGGATGCACAAATAATGTATTTTTTTAATACATTGGTTTTCACTACTTTGGCCATTATAAAATAAATATATTTTGTAAAAGTGTGATGAATCTAGCTGGCCGGAAAAATGTTCAAGGCGGGCCACATGCGGCCCGCGGGCCGCGGGTTGGCCACCCCTGGTGTAACAGTTAGGACTTTTGATTCATGTCTGCGATGTCCTGTAACCATTATAACCTATAAAGATGATAAAGCAATTTTTTTTTGTCATCAGTCTTTCAACTGGTTTGATGAGGTCCTCCACTTTCGCCATTCTCTTCATTTCCACATATTTTTTTTTGCAGCCCACATCCTCAAAAATCTGCGTCACATGTTCCAATCTTCGTCTCCCCCTACAATTTTTCCCTTCAACGCAAAGCATCATTGAGTGAATAAAAAAAAATGAAAGAAATTTTATTTATTTTCAGGAGCTTTTTGCAAACATACTTAGTCTTGAAGAACAACCTGTATTCTGTGATTCATTGATATCGCAGCTGGATAAACTGATGAATCTTGATTATCCAACTGCTGATACACATGGCACTTTGATGTCAGATCAGTTCCAGAACCTGTGGGTGATGGCTGTGTTACGTGAAGAGCTGGAACTTGTACAGAACTTGCTGCTGTATGTTGATAGCTGTGAATTACAGCTCAAAAGCTTCCTAAAGCTCTTCAAGATAATCTTGGTAAAATGCTTATTAAATCTTAATTGTATTTACTGTTGCAAATATGTTCAAATTTTATCATGTTTTCAGAATACATTCTAGAACTGACATTTACATATCGCATAAAGCCAAAACAGTGACACAACAATAAATCTGTTTCAGCATCATAACTTTGGTCACTATCATCTGTTTGGGGTGCTGCTCAATGAAAGTCATGCAGACATCATTCAGAAAATTGGCAACATGGAGGTCTTGCTTGTGCTGCGTGCATTTGAAATCCTGTAAGTTGTGTCTTATTGTGGTATAACTGTATTACAGGTTTGTAGTTTAAATGCGTCATGTTTGTGTCTAATTCAGTAATATATTTATTTATTTCCGTCAATACACAAACTTAGTTGTTAAAATTGGTGTTATTAAAGTTAAACTTTAAAATTTGGCGCTTATCATCGTTATTACGATGTTACAATGTTACAAAAAAAAATAATGAGCGCTAAAATTGTAACATTGTAACATCGTAATAGCGATGATAAGCGCCAAATTTTAAAGTTTAACTTTAATAACACCAATTTTAACAACTAAGTTTGTGTATTGACGGAAATAAATAAATATATTACTGTATTACAGGTGTTCACATCAATGGGATAAGGTATTCTTTGAAAATTTTATTCAGCTGGTAAAGAATGTACCTGTTTTTATAAAATCCAAAAGTTCATCACCATGTTTACAGAACCCCATCATTTGGCTCCCTTTGTTTTGTGAACAAAACTTTATATGTATTTCCAGTTTCCACCATATATGCCCATCTTACGTTTCTCAATTTAATCAACAATATTAGATGAAAATTTGCAAATTATGAAGCTCCTCAGTATGTAATATTCTTGGTATTTTTTCACTTCACATATCTTACATCCAAATATATTCCCCAAAACATTGTTTTTACGCACCTTCAGCCTACATTCACACGTTTGCTTGTGATGCATTCACTTTTAACTGACTGTTACGTATCTGTCTTATATTGTTGCTTCTTATGTACTTTTTCTACTTGTATCAGCAGTTTTTATTAATAATTGAAATTCCACAGACATTACATGCAGAAGAATTATAATATAATTAATTTGCTGTGTGTTGTTAGAATTTCTGTAGTTTGCTCTTTTGGTTCACAGAGGCACAAGTGGCAAGTTGTGGGATGAGAGTCTGTATGTGAAATTAGAGGAGGTCATTCTGCAGCTTGGGAGTCAGTCAGAACATGGCCCCATTAACATGACTTGGATGCTTGTCAACTTCTGTGGTCCAAATGGCGAAGAATTGTTTGATAGCTATCGGCGATTTGGGGGGCTTGCTCTCAAAGCAGACTGCTTTGTGTACTTGGAACAGGTTCTTAGACACAAAATGTTTAAGGTCAGTTTCGTATGGTTTGTTTAATTGATTGGTTACTGATTGATACATTTATTTTTCAAGAATTAACTAGAAACCTATGCTAACCTTAAATTTGTCATTCTTGAATTTTCATACCTCCTTTCAAACTCTGATGATTTTCTCTGTCTTTATTGCTTTGAAATTCCTGGTCCCATAAAGTTTTTTAATTGATTTAAAAAGATAGTAGTTTGATGGAGTCAGATCCAGTCAGTATACAATATGTCAGCTATTCTAAAAACACAAAATTTGTAATAACAGTCATTTGTAACCACTAGACTTTTAATATAAATATTGATAACTAAATACATATTTGTACCGTGAGAAGGTATTTTAATTCTTTTGTTTCAGGAATCAGCGAAGTTTTCTAACATAGCATTCAAAACTGTATATGAAATGCTATATATAATCACAAGCAAGTTTGACCAGGAGAGACTGGATGTTATTGATGGCATTTACAACGTAACAGCAGCTGTTCTCATGCAAGCCGACAACATCGCGGAATTCTTTGAGAAGCCTCACGACCAAGGACTTTACGTGCTTTTTCAAGGGGCAGCTCAACACTTTCCAGAGTACTTCACAGTCTTTTCAAGGATCGTTGAATGTTTGTCAGCTTGTGGACCCAAGTACATCCGTGTCGTGAGTGCAACATTATCTTTATTTTAGTAATAAATGTTGGATTGGTCCATATATATTATCAGGAACATTGGGTGTGAATGTCTTGCCAGTGTGTTTCACTCCAACTTTGTATTTATTAATTCCCTATTATATGATCTGGTGTAGCTCAGTCAGTATAGTGACTAGCTACGGACTGGACGACCAGGTTTCGGTCCTCGACGGGGGCAGAGGATTTTTCCTCTAGCCTCTGCGTCCAGACCGGCTCTGGGACCCACCCAGCCTCCTATCCAATGGGTGCCGGGGTCCTTTCCTGGGGGTAAAGCGTGGCTAGGGCGTGATGCTGACCACTCCCCCCAAGCGCCTGCATGGCGTGTAGTGGTACAGCTTTTCTTTACTTTTACTTTTTAATTCCCTGTTATAAAAACATCTGTTAATATTGGTAGCATTATTGAAACCTACATGGTATTCTTGTTCAGAGCCTTAAAATGCTCCTAGCCAGTGGTAGGAGTTTTTAAAGTTAAGTGCAAGTAATTTGTCATTAGTTGTTTCCCTTTGTGTCCCGCGCCGTAGCCGCGCAGTCTGAGGCATCATGCTTCGGACCGGTGATACGGAATGCGCGCTGGTTCAGGTCTCGGGGGAGAATAAATTTTCTCATGAGATTTTCGACCAGTGTATGGGACCGATGCCAACCCAGCATCGTGAGGAAATTGGGGAGCTACAATGAGTAGCGTAATCCGGTCAGGAAAACTAGCAATGGCTGGGGGTTCGTCGTGCTGACCACACGTCACCCTATATCTGGTTGGATGATCGTTCACCTCTGCTTAGGCATGTGAACGTGAAGCCAGCAGTCAAGTTAGTCGGCTTTGGCTGTCTGGAGCTGTTACGCCACAGATTTGATTTTTTTTTGTTTCCTTTTGTGCAGGAATGAAGTCAGATTAGGCTGCAGTCTATAACTCTTTGTTGTCATTCTTTCTACCCTCCCTTTCTCTGGCTTCTTGTAGTCTTTGTTTCTTCATTCCTTTCTAGTGTTTATTTCTCTTTGTGTGCGAGTATGAATGTGTTTGAAGTCCTTTATTTTGATAAATATTCATTTTATTGCACCATTTTACATTTCTATCAATCTACAGTTGATGGAGTACCTAAGCTGCTTGCCTGCATTCTCTGAGGTGCTAGAACCAAGAGTGCTAACTACTAACATGCTTGAGAACCCACCGGGAGAATGGCACTTAACCACGGCACATCAACCCATGAAACATGTACCATTCATCATTCAATCAGGGACAAAGGGCATTTTCAATGAAGAAGATCCATCCAGCATTGTTTGGAAATGCAGATTCAACTTCTTCTATGCTGTGCATCATGAAATGCTTTTACTTATATCACAGGTACGTCCATCTGTTTAACTGTTAACCTTTTTGTTGCTATGAGTTACATTACTCAGTGCAGTTCAGTGATACGCTAAAGCGACTCATGGCAGGCACAGTCGGCTGGATTGCACGTAAACAGTGATATACCGCTGATAAAGGCTAAAGCTTTCAAATTCCATATGTTTATTGTTGTCGTCTTTGCACGACATACAAATACTTCTTCATTATTATGTGTCTCATACTTAGCCCAATTTCAAGTGTTCCTTGTTTTGTTTGTGAGTACTTGAATGAAACTCTTGTTTTGTAGATGTTGTTCCTTTTCTTCTGGCTTATTTTTGTAAATATGCCTTTACCTAAACTGACATTTAATCAAAAATCATTACACACTGCAACAACCTTGTGAAATTCTTTCATGTACCTACGTCATCTGCATGTACCATAATTTTTTTGTAATCCACTCCTTTGTCCTTTTTTCGTCTTAAAATCTCATTCATTACCAACGTCATCTGCATGTACCATAATTTTTTGTAATCCACTCTTTTGTCCTTTTTTCGTCTTAATATCTCATTCATTACCCTTCTGAGCAACATAACAGTTAAAACACTTCCCTGTGTAACCCCTCAAAATATTTTGAAATGTTAAGATTCTTTATTGTCTGTGATCACGCTGTTTTTACGTTTGTTACGAATGTTTTTTATTTCATTCCATTATTCCTTCTGGATCCTGCACTTGGTTTAAAGAATTAAAGTCATTTCGTGCTTTCAGGTGCAGGCTGCTGTCGGTTCTAGCACACTAAATAATGTCATATCGTCGCTGAAGTGTTTAACAAATCTTCTGAACTCAAAATGTAAGATAACAGATGAAATGATAGGCCCTCTGGAGACAGTGTTTGTGTTGGCTGACAGGTGAGTTTTGTTTGTTTATTGGTGTATTTAACCCTTCTTTATGGAAAGACGAGTATATTCACAGCCGGTTACGTCATATGTCATGGAATGATGACTTTATGAACGTCATACAGGCATTCCATTTACCATTTTATTTTTCGATGAGTTTACAGAATATTTTATCACACATTATCCAGGGTGTCTGGTGAATTTTTGTCAATACTTGCAGATTTTATTCTTTAGGACATTCCCAGTCAGAAATGTCAAATGAACATATGTCAGTTCTCAGCAATTATGGAGCGACGGATACTTGAAATTCAAGGTGGTTTGAACGTTATGTAGAACATTAAGGTTATTTACTTTTCGATACAGAAGGGCATAATGAATTCAATATATTAACTAATGCCATACTTAAGTATACAAACATTACTGTTTACATTTCAGTTGCTACAAACATGGAGACAGTTCAGAATTTTAGGTTACGTGTTACAAATTTAAAGTAGTCAGAATTTGTACTTGTTTTAAATTAAATTTGGATATTGTTTCCTGTGTAGGATGATTATTCATTTACAGTTCTTACCAGCCTCATCATGAACTGAAACATTTGAAAGAATGTGGGCTGTCATCTTCATATTTACTACTGTGAAAAATTTGAAATCTCACTTCTTCCAAGAACATCTTTTGCACTTGGTAATTTATTTTTGTGCTGATCTCTTGCAGATTCTGCCAGTTGTCAAATCCTCCATCCGTACTTCTGGCATCCTGTTTGGATTGTATGATGGCACTGCTAGCCTTCTTCCCAGAAGAAGTGTGTACTCGTATCTCCAAACTGCAGTTTCTTCCTGGTCTCTATTACTACAACCCAACTCTGATGGAATGTATCCGCGCTGAACATATCAACCTCTTCATGTTGGGTACTCTGGTAGTTACACAGGAGCGGTCGTATGGGACTTATCCTCTGTTGAAAAGCTATCTTAAGTTCATACATAAATTGATGAAGGTAAGGTAATTGAGTGTTGGAATAAATGACCTGACGTTCTTAGATATTAAAATATCGATATTTGTAATGGTGGTTTAGTGAGTAGGATTTGAGGTTTTCATGGCAGCGAGACTGAAGGCGGCTGTCTTCTGGGTACTTGCACTGTGTAGTTTGGTATAAATCTTATGGTGTTGATCTCCATTTGATTTACAACATTGGTAAATGAAAACAACCTTTTCAATGACACATTCAATGGTGGATTTGCTCATCTGCTTATTATTACGCTTTTGATACTTCTATTTGATGATGTAATTTGTACTTTTATTTAATGTTTCCAATACCTTTAGTAAGAATTACAAAATTCATAATTAAGAGAATGTGAGTATCTAAAATCAAGTGAGAACTTGCAAGTTTGCTAGTTGAATAACATGTTAGAATTAAAGTCTTATTTAAGGTGAATTCCACCGATTTTCAGCCGGGATCTGAGGTGGAGGACTTGAACAGCTCGTCTGCCGTCATTGACGAAGATGCGGTGCAGAGCCGAGTCCGTCTAGTGCTGCCCGGAGTGGTTTTCATGCTGAGAGATGTTTTCCCAAACTATATGTTTTGGCGTTACGTGGATGAGGGGGATCGAGAAATCATTGCACTGAACTGTATGCAAATGATCCATCAGTTGCTCAGTTTGGATTTCTCCAAAGAATCTTCTGCAGATGCAAGTCACCCAATCTGCATTCTGTATAGAGCATGTTTGTACAGCCTTCTGTTCCTGGATGCGGGGGCTGCATTATTGCGGATTGTTGGATCAGGTATGGCTACCATCACATAACCTGTATTGTTCAAGTAACATGGCCTACACATGATTGAATT